AGTGAGGGCAAGGGTAGAGTTGGGTGTGTGCCTAGGGCATGGCATGTGGGGAGAGGGAGAGCCCGCCAGGGACTTCTGCCCCAGGAGCTGGGGAGGGTTTCTCTCTGGAAGCATGCCCGCCATGCCATGCTGGGGATGTGTTTCCATCTGCTCATTTTACTGCTGAGTTGTAAAGTGCTAAATGTCATTATCCTCCCCTTCCTTAAACAAGAAAGAAGTTAACAGCCTGAGAAAAGGAGACATTTCACATCATTTGGCATCCAGCCACCATCAACCATGCAGGGCGTCCCTTGGGGCCTGATGAGGGTGGGGAGGCCCTGTTCTGTTCTGCTTTCAGCGGCTAGCACCTGTGTTGCAGGGATCCAGGCTGGGTGGCCCAGTCAAAGCTCAGCCCAGCTGCTGGCAGAGCAACCAGCCACCCCTCCTAACGACACAAACTCTGTCCTAGGTGCCATGACCAAAGGAGAGATTGGGGCCAGAGGAAAGCAGCTTGTTCAAGGAACTCTGCTTATAAGGGTCTGATCTGTATGGGCCCAGAAGGTGAACTTGAAACAAGGGAAAAAATTACAGAAAAGATTTCAACTCAGTAGAAGGGCAAACCCAGAAGACTTAGACCTGTTGAAAAATTGATTGATTTTCTCATGAGGGTGTGAGCAGTCTGTCTCCCGAAGCATGCAAGTGTTTAGACCCTTCTTTCAGAGTACTCACTGCAGCGAAGTCCTGTGCAGAGGGGGAGTTTGGTAGAGGTTCTTTCCAACTCTGAGATTCTAGAAACCCATAACTGAGAAATTTCACCCATTTCCACAGTCATTAACATGCCTTGCTCACGCTGTCTGGACAGGAGTTTCTGGCTGCCTGCTGAAGGTGTGACATTTAAGAAGCAGCACAAGGTGAGATTCAGTTTCATGACTCTGATTATGGCGCCATTAATGCTTCACTCTGCAGGGCTCCCCCGGGGAATTCCTGCTGCTTCAGCTGCATGACAGTTGTCCTCCCAGCCGTCCAGTGGGCAGGGGTGTCCCACAGGGCTCAAAGCTGTCATTAAAGATCACTCCCCCACTTGCCTCCCCGACTAGCTGGAACCACAGTCACAAGGGACCATCAGACCTGGCCTTAGCAGTGTCTTGCTGAAGAGGGGCAGCCAAGGGCCAGGTCCCAAGGCCCAGGGACAGTCACACTCTCTTCTCCATTGGGCTGTAGAAAGGCCACTAACCCAAGATGAGGATGGCTGGTGTGGAAGGCCAGGGTAGCCATCTCTGGGCCCGAAGGTGAACTTGAATCAAGGGAAGAAATTACAGCAAAGAAGATTTCAACTCAACAGAAGGACAAACTCAGAAGACTTAGACCTGCTGAAAAATGGATTGATTCCCTCATGAGGGTGTGAGCTGTCTGTCTGCCAGAAGCATGCAAGTGTTTAGACTCTTCTTTCAGAACACTCACTGTAGAGAGTAGTCTATCTTTAATAGCTTCCCACAGATCTTCCAGAGTTCCCACTGTGGCCCATAGGGCCCGGCATCACCTGGTCTGCATGGCCTAGACTGTGAGCTCCTTGAAGGAAAGGGTACAGTTGGTTTTGTATCCTATGTAGCCCCGGAGTTTGGCCCTATCTTGGCACCTGGCCAGTACTTGGTAAATATTTGTCGAATGAATGAATTGAATACCTGTGGTCCTCCTGGATGTGACAGAAGTAAACTTGGCAAGTAGGCATCTCTGAAGGGCAGAGAGCACAGGGCCATGAGTCTGGAGGTTTGAGCTTGACTTTGGACAAGTCTCTGCTCTTTGGGCCTCAGTTTCCCAATCAGGTAGAGAGAAAGGTCATGTGTTCTGGCTAAGCGCTAGATCTCAAGGGTTCTTGGGCTACAGACCTGGCCTCAATCTCAGCCTTGGGGACCTGGGAATGGAGTCATCTGTTTGGAATTGAGGTGCCACACCACTGCTGGGAGTTTGGTCAGTTCAATAACCCAGAGTAAGGCTGTCTTATGTGCCAAGCTCAGTGCAGGGCCATGGAGACAAACCAGGTGTGATTCTTGCTGTGGAGAACCCGGAGACCAGTGGGGACAGCAGACATGCAGATGTAAACATGATCCAAGGAGAAAGAAGGAAACGCGAGGCAGGAGGACAAAACACCCAAGAGCTCTCCGTGCGTAAAAGGGAGGGAGTCACGGCAGGTGGGAGGATGTGGCAGGACTTCCTGGAGGAGGTGCCTTTGACCTGAACATTTGAGATAGAAATGACAGGAAAAAAGCCAGTGGAAGAAGAGGGTGGCAAAGGTGCAGAGCTCTGTAAGGCAGCTTGGGGAGTAACACAGCAGGTAGGGATGGTGCTCACAGGGCACTGGGGGCCAACTTTAGACTGAAGGTAATGCATCTCCTATCAAGGGCCGTGTCCCAGGAGGCAGCACAGAATGGAGTGGTCTGGTTCAAATCTTGGCCCTTCGCATACTTACCTGTGACCTTGATCTCTGTCTCAAAACTTCCTCATCTGTGAAATGATTATAATACCTAACCTTCAGGGCTGTTGAGGGAATTAAATGAGATTACATGTGTGAAGTGCCTGGCATCTAGTAGGCAGTCTGGGAAACGAAGCCTCCTGTCTCCTTTCCGCTTTTTGTTCATATGCAGATACCCCTGAGAGAAGCCATCGAGGCGTTTGGTAACCATTATATATGATGAGTGTGAATGAGACTACCAGAAAACCCGCGCCTTGGGAGGCTGAGGTGAGTGGATTGCCTGAGCCCACGTGTTCGAGACCCGCCTGGACAACTTGGTGAGACCTCATCTCTAAATAAATTTAAAAAATTAA